TTTCTCCATTTAGTTTTTGATATCCTTAATGAATATATGATTTATTATTGAATTTGCTTGGAAGCTATTTACGAAGTGATCGGATAATACTTCGGTTTTTACTTTGCGTAGAGAATATTAGTTCTACTTCAAACCGTGGATTATAGTGATCTTGGGTAATATCGGACATTTTATTTTCTAGTCTATTTTATTATTTCAGTGGACAGTAAAATACACAAACAACGCAAATTCAAAATAAGAGCTTAGAGACCTCCATTTAGTCTTTATATCATATTTTTTACAAATTTTAATAATTTTTGCATATCCTTCTGATGTGTTCATGTTTCTCCACACTTTATTCTACATCATTCACACACTCAAAATAAGTTGTACAGTATTGATTCGCTTGAATTACTGTAGAAACACTTGATTCATATAAGTTTGTCTTCATATTAGTTTTCTTCTATTTTCAGATACCCTTTCCCATCATGTACATTGTTCTCTGCAGATGGGATTTCCTTACGGTTGATCTCTCAATCCGTATCTATGAAGTCATCAGATTTGACAGAATTTCTGCAAATGAGATTGATACAATTTCTTTGCTTGTTCTTAGCCTCAATCCTTTTCATCCTTAGTAATTGTTACAAAATAAATAGAGAGGTCGTCTACGACTCCTTTGTTTCATAGGAATTCGCGGCCCTCAGGCAAATAAATTTTCCTGGAAGCTGTTCTACGTTCGCTACAGCCGATGTGAGAAGTTCACTGTAACCGAATAATAAAGTGCTTATTATGATGTGTGTGAATCGAGACCAGTTAGTTTTGTTCATTTTCACCGAAATGTCACTATATCCAGAGTCAAATGTAATACTCGTATTATGATAGGGTAGACACTGAAAATGCTCTAAGCTTTAAAAAAATTGAAATCTTTTGAAAAAACTTCTGCCAAAGACTCTTATCCCGCAGCGCACCTACGGAGTCGCAAAGGACCCGTTTCTTTAAAGCAGGACAATTTTAATAAAATCTCTTATATTTTTTCAGAAAATGAGATAATGTGAAAAATGTTCAGCACGTTAAAGAAGAAAGAGGAGAATAATATGGCGACCGTTTCACGGCGTATAATGGTTTTGGAGAATTGTTCAAGTAAACTAGGGGCTGGTCCTAAAAGGCCCCGTTCTGCAACAGGGGGTAATTATGCGCTGCGTACGCCTGGCTAGCGGACAACGTAACAGTTTAATCTCGGGCATCCCGAGGTTAGTTGTTATGTCGCTATATGTGTTCCTTCACGCATCCAATGGTCGAATTACAGCATGGCAGCCTATGTGGTGCAATGATTTAATATGTTGCTATCAAATAGTTCGCAATACCTCGTAATTAGCGTCGATAATCATTTAACTATTTGATGGACTTGTAATTGCATGCCAAACATTGTGCAAAAGCCTCCAAACATTGAAGAGTGGATTTATGTTGAACTTGCTGTCACAATTCTAGACATTTAAGAGATGATGTAGTTGATATTTTTTGTTATACGCATCTTTGTAACGAATAAAAATACGCGTATGAAAATTATTTAAATTTGAGTCTAACGCATTTGAAACGCTTGTTACAAATGTAAACCAAAAATAACAGAAGTAATGAAGAATACGTGAATACATGCACTTTAAATAGTTTACGTGCAATACTGTATAAAATACCTGATGTCTTGGGACGATGCAATAAGATTCCATGTAGTTGTAATAGAGTAACATAAGAGTACATGTCATTACGTGAGTATAATTTAACGAACGAGTCAAGCTCGACGAAAGGAAGATTCATGTCGACGAAAAGGAAAACCGCCTCGGATCATTGACTAGCGGACCGGTCGGACGTGCGGAAAACAAAACCCAAAGTGGTTTAACTAACAACATATGCACCGAACAAGCGTTGCAAGGGTTAATTACTAAGCCAACAGCGCGTTGCATGTCCTTGGAGTCCACGTCGACTCTTTGGCCGGGTAGAGCCTTGCATCTCGCGAGTGCAGAAGAGCGATCGTTGCCTCCGCAAAGCAGTTAGGCCTCCAAGGCCGCCTCACATGTCCTCTTCCTCTCCCGCCGCCGCGCCGCCCACTCCGTCTGCCTTGCACGTCTCCCACGCGCGGACGTTCAGTTAGGCTGCGCAGGAGAAATCGAAATCGAACTGATCTCGGCAGTTAGAGGGAAGAAACAAGCCGTTCTGAAATTCCAGGTTTGTTCACGTTTTTTCAATTATTTATTATCGATGTTGACAAATATTGAAAGCTGCTGGAGATATATAACTGCGCCCTTTGTGAAAAAAAATTAAGTGTAAGATAAATTGAAATATTTAGGTCAGAAATCAGTCTTAAATCATCAATACGATTAAAAAAGGGAATGTTTACATAGATCTTTAACCTTTTATCTTCATAACGAAAGTTAGTATTTCATTTTGACGTTGCACTCATTGAAGAAAACTTCAAGAATCGAACAACACACTTTGACTTTTGAACACATCTCTAAACATATTGTGGAGAACACACCTTAATCTATGGAGTAAACGTTTACTTTCATCAGTCCAACTAAGGAGTAGGCGAGTAAGCGACAGGTACACTGCAAATGTTGAATAGCAAGAAGAAAATAGCTGTGCTGGAATGATGTAATTCAAACATGTGTCTCTTTACGACTCTTCTTGATTTATTTTATGATTGGTGATTAAGGGTCAACTACCTATACCATTAGAACTCATGAGTTATGATCTAATGGGTACATTGAAGCAATAAAGAAGAGGTGAATGATGATACAAAAATGGTGGGATGAGGAACATGGGAAACGGGGGAGACGGAGAAAATCTGAAGAGCTAGCTTTGTTCATCCCAAACGCGAGATAGAAGGACGGGATCAAACGCGAGCTCAAGTGGTGAGCAGTTTTCGAGCTGTAACATTTAAAGTTCCTCGAGATGTTCAGCAGAGAGATAAATAACGGGAGATAATTTAGATGGAAAGAGGGAGATAATCAAAGCAGACATCAGCCCTGGTGAAAGAGGTGCATATGTATCCTCGTCGATGCTGCTGGTCTCATGGAACCCAGACACTGCATTCTCTCCCACTTCCGTTCGCGAAGGAGACGCCTCTCATTCTGGCATTGGGTGAGTCCCGAGCGACCACTCGACTCTACCAAGAAATCGAGGCGTTTGGCGAATGCTCGCTGCATGCGATGGGCCGCGAACAGGCTGTGTGTTAAGGCGGCTACACACATTCGGTATTTGGCGAGTAGCGAGCGGCCGTTCGCCGAATCCCGAGTAGTGTGAATGTGTTGCTTGCTATTTGCCGAGCGACGAACATTCGGTGCTAACCCTACCCACCGCGTGCTAGTCTTTTGTACACATTAAAGGAAGCGAACATTTGCCGAGCACATCAGCTGCTCAGGATTGAGCGAGCTGTCGTTCGCAACTTGGCGAATGCCGAATGTGTGGAGCCGCCTTTAGGGCGAACGCCGAATGTTTGGCAAAGACCAAGCAGCCGCTCGGAGCTTCCGAATACCGCTTGCGGGACGCCCCCTTATCGCCATCTGGTGCCACCTGAAGTTCGACTTCGGTGTGAGCAACTCACATTTTCGACCCTCCTTGTCGTGGACCGGCAGTAAAAGAGGTATCCTTCGAGGTAGGGGCACGACATCGACCACAAATCGTCGATGTTTTGAAATATCGATGTTCAAATTTTAAAATTCGATAATGAAAATATATCGATCCAAAACCATCGATGTTTTCAAATCCCGGTATTTGTAAAACTATTTGAGTAACCTCTAACATGAGAGTTGACATGCTCGCTCATTAAACACAGTAAAACTGTTCTCAAAACTATTAATAAAACGTACTATCTTATCGGATAATACCAAACAATGCACTACATTTATCAACAAAAAATATACTAACTTATTTTTCACTCTTGTTGACTGAAGAATGTTCAAATTATAGATACCTGAAAATTATTGTAGTTTTTTATTATTGCAATTGACATTCAAAAATAAAATAATAACCAAGTAAAAATCGAGTTCAAAACATAGATAATGAAAACATCGACATCAGTAGACGGTTGTTAAATATATCGATGTTGTATAAAAACATCGATGTTTTGCAAACATCAGCATCGACGTCGCATCCCTTCCCCCTCGTCGCCCTAACAGCCAATGCGCCCGAACGCGCTGCCCCCCCTCCGCCCTCCTCGCGCACCTGGTGCTGATCCCTTCGCCTGTTCTCGAGAGAAACCACGGAAAACTACCGATTAGCGCATCCGCCCGCATTGAATTCTCCGCCAGACAGCAGCCGAATGCGACCTAGGTCTCTCGTTAGCACCGCGGTGGCAACCGTTAGTGGCTCAGGGCGTGGCGAGCTGACTTCACAGTCGGAAGATACGGGTTCGATCCCCGGACCGGGCATCTTGGCCGGGGTTTTGTTTCGGTCATACAGATGAATGCTGAGATGGTTAAAAAATGCAACGATGACTTCCCACAACCCTACCTGCCACCTCTCACCATCATCTTAGTCCTTACACCCCTCGTCAGCATCCTATCACATCATTCAGCATTCCCTGCAAAGCCCTTGCCCGTATTGGGATTTTAGTTGGCCAATAATAATAATAATAATAATAATAATAATAATAATAATAATAATAATAATAATAATAATAA